AAAAAAAAAAAAAAAAAAAAGAGAGATTCCAGTGTGTATACTCTTGAAAAATAGATGTGCTTGCCTTCTTGCAAAGTAAATTATGTAAAAAGGCAGGAAGTGGGGTGGCTGTTATTTAAAAGCTATGAACATTGTCAAAAAACAAACACTTGAAGCATGGCATGGTGCCACACACCTGTATTCCTAGCACTCTGGCAGGCTGAGACAAGAGGAGGACAAGTTTAAGCCTAGCCTGTGCAATTTAGGGAGAAACTGTCTGAAAATAGAAAATAAAATTTCAAAAAGGGCCAAGGATGCAGCTCCGTGTAAAGCTCTGGGCTTACTGTTACAAAAACAAAGATTTGCCTAGTAAAAACCTTGAAACTTTCAAAAGGAAAATGGAACTAGGATGATTGAAAAGAGAAAGACCAGTAGAGAAAAGGGAAAAAATGCAAGTCAGTTATATAGTGTCTTTTAGTTCATTAAAAAGAAAGTTTGTGCTACTTTCAATTGGAGAAAATTTTATGCCCATACATTGTACCCTGAGCAACCACTTTGAAGATAACATGTGATGCAGTACAGATATTCTTCTTTTATTTTGTTATAAATTTTTATTTTGCCTTTTTTCTGTAAACAACAGTATTATTCTGCTTCCTTTTTAATAAAGCAGATAGTATTAGAATTTTATAAAAAAAAAACTTGAACTTTTGATTTACTGTTGAAATGTAGAATGTTTGCATGCCAAGTTGACATGGATCAAGATGTTTTTCTCCTAATGCATCTAAATGTGTGATGGCTCATGATGTTTAATTTTATGATGACCCGACCATGATTTTGTTAATAATATTACAAACGTTTGCAGAACTGAGCTAACATTAACTTTTTAATAGAATATGAAAGATGCTGACCTTTCAATGGAACAAAATGAAAATGACCTAGCACCAAGTCTCAGCCAAGTCGCAGCAACTGACGGGCCTGTCAAACAGAGAAAAGACACAGGGTACAAAATTATTTTATTGGCGACTCAAGGAATTGAATTTAAAAATGGTTGGGAGGTCGGACACCATGGCACATGCCTATAATCCCAGCAGTGGGGAGGTGAGGCAAGAGGACTGCTGTGAGTTTGAGGCCAGCCTGGACTATGAAGTGAGTTCAAGTCTTGCCTAAACTGCATAGTGAAACTCTGTCTCAAAAAGACAAATAAATAAATAAATAAATAAATAAATAAATAATGGGGAAAATGTGTGATTGATTAATACATTTTATCTAAAAATATCTGAAATTGGAATGAAAGCAAGACAACAGTTAACAGAACACAGGCCAGACAACTAAATGAATATTTTGTCCCAGGCCTGTGTTTTTAACAGGAGTGACTGCTGAGAGAAATTTCCAGTTTTATTCATATAGAGTAATTTCCCTCTAGTGCATTTTAAAAGACAGCTATCGTGAAATTTCCTTAAGTAAAATAAATGAACTTGAATCTGATGTGAATTTTCCAAACTACTTCGAAGTGAAAGATATTTATTGCATCTCTCCTGCTTGCTAAAGGTACAACTTCAAAGCAACACTACAGCTCCTGGGCTTGGATGATGGGACTGAGCCCAGTGACAGCGACCCTGCCTTGATGAGAGGGGCCCACTTGTCCTTTCTGTGTCTGCGCCACCTGCGAATGCGGGAGCTATGGGTATGGGTTAATCTGACACACCAGTTCCATGTATCCAAGATGTCTGATAGTCTAGAAAGGGGGAGTTCCTGTTTTTCAGGAGCAATACATATTTATGCTTTTGCCCTTTATTCTGTTTTTTTTCCTGGAAATCAGCCCCTCTGCAGGATGGTGTGCTCCTTTCTTGCTGTTGGGTTCACACACACACACACACACACACACACACACACACACACACACCACCCCTTGAGTCCCTATCACATTTTTCTCCATAGGGAGGAACACAGTAAAGGAGTCCTGATTCAGTTGTTCCTGTGTTTCAGCGCATCTGCTTAGGAATTCTGAACTACTTCAGGTCTGTTGAGCGCACTCTGACGATCAACACTTCAGGCCTTACCTTGGTTTCTGGGGAACTGGTCCCCACAGCAGACAGCAGCTCCTGGACAAATATTGCGGAAGGAGACATGGGTGCCTCGCAAGGCCTAGGAGCTCACCACTATGTCCACGGGACGCCCGCTGATCACAAGGTGAGCCAGTCCCTGTGAGTTGCTCTTCCTTGTTTATTTTGTCTCCCCAAACACCTTTTTCTTAGCACCTGGAATCAGTTAACACTATAGTGAAGAATTTTTTTTTTAATGGCTTATACAAAATTGTAACAAAAGGGAAAAATGACTTTCTAATCACAGTGAGACACTGTCCACATGAGAGCAGGATGCTGCAAAAAGCAGCTGAAAGCACCTCTGGAGACTGCAACAGGAAGGAAGCAGTGTAGTTGGGGGATTGTAGACTTTATAGTGAATGGAGCCAACGGCAAGGGCCCCTTCTGTTATACCTTCCTGGCCAGAGGACCTCATGCTCTACAGAGACACTTCCACGAGACTCTCCCTAACATTGCTAGAGCTATCTTCTGCCCATTTCCTGTTTTCTAAGCAGTAAATGAAAAGAGAAAAAAAAAAAAAGAAGAAGACTAAAAACAAAGATAGAAAAATTTGAACTGGGCTCAGTGTGGAGGTGCACGCCTATAATACCAGCGTTTGGGAGGTTGAGGCAGGAGGACTTCCATGAGTTCAAGGAAAGAGCTATATAGTAAATTCAAGGCCATATATAGCAAGACCCTGTCTTTAAAAACCACAAGCAGAATGGAAAACAAACAATTAAAATGTCTGTTTCACTCTAAAAGTCTATTGGCCTGCTGCATTTGATGTCTGTTGAGCATATTTTCCTATAGTGTCTAGAATTTCAGCCCTGCCTACCACAAGACTGATGAGACAAAATTTATATTAAATCTCTCTCATTGGAATAAAAATGAGAATGCTTGCATGTTAGTGGACTATTAAAGATGCTCCTGCAGTATTTTCATCTCAACATCTAGAAAATTTGTTCCTCAAGATAGAGTTTAATACAAATGTAATCTTCTTAAAAGATACCAGATTGACAAATGTGTAGACAAAACCTGTGTAGTTGCCAACCGAGTCATGTGGTGGGCCTCTGGTGTCTGGAAGGTGTCAGCTCTTACTGGTGACTCTTGCTCATATATGCACGCTGCGTCCAGCAGTGCCATGTGGTAGACGTGTGACACCAGCCACATACATAATTTAAAGTTTTCTAGCAGCTGCATCTTCGAAGTTCAAGGAGAGGGCTGGCCAGATAGCTCAGCGGATTAAAGCTCCTGCTTAGGCAGACGCAGGGACCAGGGCTCAATCCCTGGTGTGCCGTGCCAGCCCCAACCCTGGGGCACGTTGAGACTGCGAATCAGATGGGGTGTGGTGGTGCGTGCCTATAATCCCAGCACTTGGGAGACTGAAAACAGGAGGGTCACTATGAGTCTGATTTGTGTAGTGAGACCCTGTAGACATTTAAAAAAAAAGTTCAAGGAAACATGTGTACTTGATTTTAAGAATATACTCCATTTAACTGAAGATATCATGTCCACATGTAAGAAGATCCGTACTTTTTTTTTTTTTTTTTTTTTTTTTAATGAGACAGGATCTCACCACATAGTCCATCTGATCTTGAATTTACTAGGTAACCAAGGCTGGCCTTGAACTTACAATCCTCCTGCTTTATCTCCTATGTGCTAAGGTAACAGGCATATGCCACCAGAGCCAGCTCAGACCCTTTATGCTAAGTCTACCGGGTATGATGTGTACTTTACATAGATGTGTATTTCAACTCAGACAAGCCACATTTCAAGCCCGTAAGCTGCCGCACCTAGCAGTTCAGCTCTAGATGTTAAGAAATACTTTATTTTCCCCACTCAGTCTCCTGGAGTCCTTCACTCCATACCCTAGGCAGGCTTCTAATTTTGGTTTTCTTCTTCTTCTTCTTTTTTTTTAATTTAATTTAATTTTTTTTAATTTTTTTTTGTTTTGTTTTTTTGTGGAACCGGGGATTGAACTCAGGCCCTTGCGCTTGCCAGGGAAGCGCTTATTCCACTGAGCCATCTCCCCGGCCCCTTGGTTTTCTTCTTGTCAAGCAGCTCCCCACTTTTGTCCCCTCGGCACACACAGGTTTCTTCTCAGAGTTGTTTGTCCTCTCAGTCCACCTCTTCAAACCCAGTTAATGCACCTTCCACTGGAGCTGGAGGGGAGTTCAGACACTTTGGATAAACACGCATGTAAAACAAATACATCTTTCTTTTACTAAAATTGGTTCTACCACAGCTGTACTATGTTATTATGCTAATAGATCTTTTTAAATCTTTTTTTTTACCATAAGGCCTCATCCAGTTTGCTTTTGCTGAACTAGGGGTTGGGGAAGGGTAGAAATAAAAGATGCGGGGAATGACAAAGACCATCCTGCTATGTTAATTGTAGGAAGAGTTTCTCTGCATAATGAGCTATTTCTTTTCTCTAATCACATAAATGACAGGAATGGCATTACCTTTAAAGCCACCCACTGCTATTATTGAAGGGTGAGGCCAGCAAGGCTGTAGCCTTCTGTCTTCGGTAGGATTGTGTGGCTTAGCTGTCCGCCCCGGGGGTGGCCATGTCAGCAGCACCGGTGTGTCCAGTTCTGGGAGGCGTGGTTACTCTCAGGTAGGAAAAGGAGAGTGCAGATGCTAATCTGCTGCATTGTTCTCAGCAGAGTTGGAGATAGGCTTGCTGGGAACAAGTCCACTGAGTTTCCCAGCCACGGAGGCCTGGTTGTCCACGGTGTGCCCAGGATGCACAGCACAAGCAGCTGTAGGGGTGGAGGGAAATAGGGCTGCAGAGAACAGTGGCCTGGACTGTGAACCGTTAGGCACTCCATAGGGTGTGAGTCGCGCTCCAAGGCTGGTGGGGAACAGAAAAGAGTTCTAAATAGGAGAACGTCTCTCTCTGTTGCTTTGTCAGTTACTCTAGGATCTTTGCCCAAATGTAATCACAGTTATTTCCTTGCTAGAAGTCTTTCTGGGTTTCCTGTCCTCATAAGATGAAGTCCAGGCTTCTTGGAGACATTTACAAGGCCAAGCACAATCTGGGCCCTGCCAACATCCTGGGCCTCATTTCCCCTTCGTCTCTATATTTCCATCTGATGGCTCAGGGCCTGGACCTCCTCTGCTTGGGCAGAGCTACTGACACCTCTGGGCCCCTCTGTCACTCATCCCTTTTCTTCTTGGTAAATTCCTGCTCAGTTTCAAGGTGCATCAAATATCTCCTCTGTGGGTAGTCTTCTTGCATCCCTGTGGAGAGCTGAATGTCTCTCACAGTAACTGGCCTACTCCATCCTAGCGCTCAGCATATGGCTGTGTTGACTGTTGGTTTATCTGTTCCCAGGGGCTGTGAGCCACTCGTTCATCCACCCATTCACCCATTCATCCATTCATTCCTCAGATATTCTGAGGCATATACTAGGAACTATTGTAGGCTGGGGAATATATCAGTGCACAAGACTGGCCTAAATTTCTGTCATGGTGGGGGTTCCCTGACAGAAAGGAAGACACAATAAGTAAGCAGCATATGTCAACTCTGCAGTATGTGGTACCAAAGCTTTCCCACACACCCCAGCCCTTGCAGTTGTGTGGGATCTTGTGACCAGCTTTGAACGGTGGGCTGTGAGTGGAAATGACATGTGCAAGTGTCAGTCCAAAGCACTTGGGAGCCGGCCCATCCCCTCTGGTTCTCTTTTACTTCTGGCAGTGGAAGTCATAACTTGAAGCAGGCAAATTACCCATGGCCACATCCTGGACTCCCAGGCACTGCCAGAGGGTGGCAATGGAGAGAGCACCGGGTCCTGCAGTAGGCTTTTGATGAGTGAGAAATTCATTTTTAGTGTTCCTGTGCTGACATTTGGGGTTGTTTATCATCCATTCACAGCCCACTGTCCAAGGCCCCATGCAACCTCAAGGGCTGGGGTGTGTGGGAAAGCTTTGGTACCACATACCCCAAAGTCGACATATGTTGCTTACTTATCATCTCTCCCTGTCAAGGAACTCCCACAAGGGTAGGAATTTAGGCCAATGTTGTTCACTGATATAGTCCCTGAGCTTTGTGGACCAATGAAGACAGTAAGAGGTGTTAAGGAGAAAAATGAAGGAGAAGAAGGCAATAGAAAGTGCTAGAAGCAGATGATGGGATGATGTAGTTGTAAGTAGGGCAAGCAGGGAAGGTCTATGGAGAAAGTACTTGAGTAAATACATGAGGGAAATCAGAAAGCAAACCACATGACTGGAGCAGAAGGTAGAGGAGAGAACCAGTGCAAAGGCCCTGAGGCAGGACTGTGGCAGGAACACCAATGAGTTCAACATGGCTGCAGTAGATAAAGGGCAAGCAGCACACAGTGAGGCTAGAGAAGGTTATATCTGGCCTGTGAGAAGTTTGGCTTTGGTCGACTGAAAAGGGGAACTTTAGAAGTTCTGTGCAGAAGAATTACATGATTTGACTTACATTTTAATCCTCCTGCTTATGTACTGAAGGAATTTTTTTTTTTTTTTCTGAAGGAATTTTAGACAGAAGGAATTTTAGGGCTGACATAGGGAGACACCTAAAGAGGTTATTGCATTAATCAACCCAGAGATGATGTAGCTAAGAAACTTCCTGGTGAGGAACGGTCAGTTTCTCAATGTTCAGTCATGTGCCACATAACCACTTTCCAGCCAGCAGCGGCCACCTGTACACACAGCTGTGGTCCCATAAGATCATCAGCACTGCGAAGCTCCTATCACCTAGCGCCATCACACCCATTGCAATCTCATAGTGCAAGTCATTACTTAGATCTTTAAGGAGATGTTGGCAAAGACATATCAGGTGAGATATACTTAGATAAAAATTTCCGGGCAATGTGTTACAGTTGCTTACTGTATCCAGTACATGTAAGTTTTGTTGTCTAGGAGCAATAGACTCTGTACATTGGTAGTGGGCAACACTGTCTAGGGTTGTGTAGGTAAAACATTCTATGATGTTCACAAAACAACCGAAGCACCTAATGACACATAAGAACTTGGTGTTGTCATGAAGTAATATGTGACTCTACTTTAAAGATATGGCTAACATGATGTCTAGTCAGAGAAGTCAAGGTTGCTACTAAAAATTTGACATGAGTATTG